AGCAGCTTCCTTCTCCCGTGTTAACAGGGAAGTGTCAGCAGGCGGAGCGCTGAGACTGCGGGAGAGCCTAGTGCTGCCTAGAGCGCAGCCATGGTAACCGTGGGGGGATTCCCCCCAGCCTTTCCGCTCTTCGCTGGCCCGAGCAGAAGCGTGCTTACAGCGAAAGGAAAGGTTTTGGAGAACGCTGAAATTCAACAAGTCCCCTCTGGAGTGCCTGTGAAGTCTGTTTGGGTTGGCATTTTCGCGGGGTGTACACCTAGGACTTGTTAAAAATTGGAACAATTTTCACGAGAAAAAAGAGCAGCTACGCAACCAATACTTTTATGCTGTGTGTTAAAAATTGGAAGAATTAGAACTCACTAATTAAATTGCTGTAGCATTTGTTTCATATAGTAAAAGCCCAACTAATTAACCAAAACCTCCTCCAGATTAATCACAAACTGAGCTCTTTTAGGGCAGGTATCGAGTCAGGCTCCCCTGTTCTCCGGCCCCCTCTCCCCCCCACGCATACATGTGTGGTGTGTAAGTTATTAAACTGCCATTCTTCAGTGGGAAAAAAACCCACACCCCAAAGTTAACAGAAAAATACCTGGAGATTATAGTTTTTTGTGTTGGTGGTTTTGTGTGTTTGTGGTATTTTTGTGTGTATGTGTTGTTTGTTTTTTTTTTTTGGGGGGGGGTGTGTTTCTTTTTTTAGCCCTGAGACCTACAATTTTCCTCTTTTTTGGATGTCTTTGGTGGAAGGTATGTGGGACTGTTCTTTTTCAGCATTCATGAGGTGTTTCATGTGCTCGAATCTTCATATAAAACTGGAGCTTTTTTTTCATGTTTAGTAATAAAACTGACCTCTTGGTATCTGCAAAAAAGAAAAAAAGCTTTGTGTAGATGCTGGAACATGAATTTTAAGACTTGGCTTTAGTTTCAATTAAAAATGAATATAAAAGTTTGTGGTATAGTATGTTGCTGCTGTGTTAGGAGTTTTTTTTTTTGTTTGGATGTACAGACCATGACTGCTTATTGCTTTCCCACTGTCAGTTATGACAGTGCTGACAGGTAGTGTTACAGCCTAGTTAGATTTACATGTGTCAGTGAGTCTTTGAAAAAGGGGGACATGAACGTATTTCCCACTAGCTTAGTCTTGGCTCTTCTCTCTAGGGTAAATCTGTCACGGCTGTTTGTGTTTTGGAGAAAGTAAGTACAGAGAAAATATAAACACTCTTTCCTCAAACTGTGATTCCAAAGATGGTTGTAAGTGTCCTTCCAGTTTAAGCAACTTCTGTTTCTCTTCCTTCATTATGCTGATGCAGCTGGTTTTGCAGGTGCAAAATGAATCAGATCAGAGAACTAGTTCCACTGGGAAGGGGGAAGCAGAATTTTATGTCTGCCTTTTTTCTTCCTTAGGCAGGTTGGTTGTGTGATCTGTTTAAAGCTCAGATACAGTGAGGCAGAAGTAGGAATACGGAGTCATGGGAATTGCATAATGCTGGTCACAACAACATCGTTACCAAATATGGAGGGGAAAAACCCCTTCCAACCTTGTTCCTTTTGTCTTGTAAGTCTATTGCTTGCAGTGATAATGAAAAACTGCAGTGAAATTGATGTAGCCTGACTTCTGAGAGGGCTTTTGTTGGTTTGGGTTTTATATTTTAAAATGCTTATGTTGATCAGTATCTCCCAAAGTGTAAACTAAAGAAGAAATGATTAAGAAAAAAATTATATTGAAGTAGCAAAATATACTAAACAGCTGCAGGCTAGCTTTCTCTACCAGCCCAAAACTTGACAGGATTACTTGAGAGTTCTGTCAGGCCCCAGAGACTTGTTTTGAAGTGGTGTTATCGGCACCATTGAATTTCTCTTGCAGCAGTTCTTCAGAAAATCTAGTTTCTGCTTCAATTTGATTTGTCTGACCTATTTGTGCTCCCTAGAGAACTGTTCCACAACTCAAAGTGACCTTACATAATAGCTTACAATGCTGTTGCACTTACCTTTTGAGATTCTGGTTGCACACTCCTGCTCCTTAACTCTTGCTAGGACTGACACGTTTTAGGTTCCTGTATTAGAGGGGGTCTTATTCATGCATAACCCACTATTATAACAGAAAACTGTGGATCTGGTTTTGGGGTTTGTGTGCTTGTGGTTTTCTATGGTGCTTTGTTCTTGGGTTTTTGTTTTTTGTTTTTTGTTTTTTTTTTAACCTTTGCACTACAAAGTTAGTCACGTATCTAAGAGTTTGAAAACTGTCATAGGCAGTGCAAATCCAGGAAGAGATTACCAAGGCAGGTAAAAGGGAATTGAGGTATCACCCCTTCTATCCTTTTCACTGCTTTTAAGCTGTAAGGGCATACAGAGCAAAACACCATAGCAAATAGGAAGTTTTAGTTGGCCAGAATTTTTTTAAAGTATAGGCATTGTAACTTAGATTAATTGTATTTTTATTCCTATTTATAAATAGTTTTCAATTTTAAACTGTTCCCAGGTGCCATTTGCTTGTACATCTACCTGCATGACTGAGACCTCTCAGTGTTTTAAATTACCTTGAGTATCACATATAAATACAAGCTGATGTTATCAATTTGTGCATAAAATATATACCAATTATCTAGTTCAAAATCAGTACAATATAGAATCTTGAAACATATCTTGGTTCAGATGAGGTACAGGGGCAAAAAAAATCCAAAAAGGAAAAATCTGCTTCCCTTACTGGAATACAGAGGAGCAATTTTCCAGCATGTGGAGTGTGACATGATTACACTCCAGTCATTGTAATTCAAAATGCTGGTGTTTGTTCTATTGAAACCAAACCTTTTTTCTTTCTTTTTTTTTTTCTTTTTTTAAATTATTTTCTTACAGAATTATAATGTTCTACTCATGTTTCTGCTTATAGAAAGGAAAAGACCCTATCTCTGAGGAGAGAAATTGGTCATGAAATTACTTTAAAACCCTAAGCTAGTGAATTTTGATAGATTTCTCCTTATATTAGAGGTAGATTTGCAGTGCTTTAGAACAGTAATTGCCAGTCTTTTCCAGCTTGGTGCTTCTCTCTTTGTGCAACTGGTGTACTGTCAGTGTTCATCACTGTCTTGCTTCATACCTGACAAGATTTATTTTATTATATTTTAATGGACATTTTTTTCTTTTTTATCTGCAGATAGAGGTAAGTTCATACTTATCCCTATCCCATTTTTTTCCCCATTTCTTAACAAATGAGAAATGTCAAACAGAATGAACCATAAGAGTATATTTGTGCAAAGGAATTTTGTTAAAGCTTTCACTGCCCATTTAACTCAGGCAGTGATATGAATCGCAATACAGTTGTTGAACAGTAAAATCCTTAATACTGATTTTCTTTGTATTGTAATGTTCTTTGCATTTTTCCAGCCCTTCATTTTACTCCACTATTTACTATTCAGTAATGTTGCATGTACCTTTGTATGTTATTTTCATCATACTGTTTTGTTGTTCATGTTAACCCAATGTTTTCAGGAGGTGAAAAAGATGTTTATAGCTAGGGTTCTGCCTTTCTATTTAGAACATACAGAGTGGAATACTTCTGTCCTTGCTTCCTGGGTTTACAGCTCACACTTAAAATAATTTTTCTTGGGTGATAATTAGTTTGGATCTTACTCTGTGCCACCAAAATAAAAAGGGGAAAGGTCTCCGCCTGCACCGTGTCTTTTATTCTCCCTTCAGTCTTGTTCAGGAAGGTGTTTAAGCATAGGGGTGTGGTCTGTGTTTGAGAAATTAAGCACAAACTAGACAGAGGTGGAAAAGCCTGCAGATAATCTGCGCTTCATGATCCTATCCTTTCTCCAGATTTACTAGCTCTGCTCCCAATTTCTGTCCCGAGTTTTATCATTTGTGTGTCATGTTATTCATATATATATATGTATATATATATGTATACACATCACTATGCTTATGAAGACTGGTGTGCTGGAGTTAATAAAAAAAAATGTTGAGTTTGCGAATACTTAGAGGTATGTAAAAGTTTGCAAAGTTTTGACCTCAGACATGAAAGCTGAAATCAGTAATCAGTAAGTGAGAAGTAGATTTGCTCTTTTCAGTGGATTTTAAAATCAGAAAAAACTCCCAAACCCCAAAACATAAAAAACCTAAGTCAATGAGGTGCTTGTTTATTAGTTCATATACACCTGGTACCCCAAGTTTTTGTAAATAAAGTGAAATGATCCCCATAACATAGTGAATGGATGTAATGCTGTATTTCATGTTTGATTTTAGGTACCTGTTGTGGTTTAAGCCCAGCCGGTAACTCAGAATCATGCAGCCGCTTGCTCGTTCTAAATTTATTTTTATAAAAGCCACTAAATTTTAAGTTAACAGTAAAAAAGATACCAAATGTTAAAATTCTCTTGTTGACATTCATGTTGTACTCTTTCAGTTCAGTCTTGCTGGTTGCCTTCCTATTACCGCATTTGATATGGTTGATCTTCAGCCTGATATTTTTATTGATTTCACTCCAAACTCAAACACTTTGTTTTCTTCTCTTTTTTGGTTATAGCTGAGATGACATTATTTTTCTTGTTAGCTTTTAATTTACACTGTATACTTTGTGTCTTTAAAAAAATCCTCAAACCCACCACCACCACCAAAAAACATCATTTGTAGGTTTGATTCATAGGGCTCTGGGAATTGTTATGGGCTAAGTTATACAAGAGATGTATTAAAGGTAAAATAATTATTTATTTTTTTATGTATGTTTGTGTGAAAACTGGAACTTGAGAAACTGTAAGTTATATGGGAGTTGTCTTTTTTTTTTTTATATGTTTTTTCCACTTTTATGTGCAATAATTCTAGAGGTTTCTCTTAAATTTAATGACACTTATGAGATTTCATGTGGTGTTTGGGTTTTTTTTTTTGTTTCTTTTTTTTTTATATACCCCAAAATCTTTCCCTTCTTTCACAAGTGAATTAAGTAATGCAGTGTTTCTGTACTTCCATCCCTTTTACCATAGCTTTGATATGAAATCAGTGAATAAAGATACAGTTGTGGATGCAATTTTTTTATTGCCTTTTAATATAAGAAAAAAAGTGACATGCAAATAGAACAGTTTTCTGACACTATTACGTTACAAATAAAACTGTAACTTCTAAAATATTCATATAGGCTTGAATAGTATAACATAAAAATAGCCATTGAGTAAAATGACTTGTAATGCACAGAGTTTTGCTTTTTCTAAGCACATAGCTTTGCATGACTTGTTAGAATTTGTAATGCAGGGCAATGCAAACTTTGTGACTAAAACATTAGTTTCTTATTTGGTTTGCAGTATGTACATTGTTTCATAGTAGTAATATTTTTCCCCATCATTGATGTGATATATTGCTGTTTAGAGAAAATAAAAGTATTCTGACGGAAACATTGTGTGTTTAATGACTGCTTTTTTTTTTTCTGAACAAATAAAAAGCCAAGACAGCGTCTACACTTCCACTGCCAAGATACCTGTGGGTGAAAGAAGAAAAAAAAAATAGCATGTTTATTATTTGATTTACTGTTAACTGTCTGATTTTTACAAGAGAGGAATTTGTAATTCCATAAGTGCAGGCATCACATAAAAGTTACTTGGGATCTTAAAGGATCAAGTCCTAAAAATAAATTATACATTGCAGTCAGCTCACTTCAGAACATTTGCATTCAGAACATTTACACACCTGAGTCATACTAAATTCAGAAAAGATTTACTCACAGTAACTGAGATAAGTCCAAAGAGTTGCATTTTTTCAGTTTGCGTGACTACATTCCCATTATTTTAAATTAGAGGGTTATGGGAATAAGGAATACACAGAAGTAGCTTCTTAGCAGTGCTTATATTTTAGATGGAACATTAAACCAAGCGATGTATTAAATACTGTAGTTGGATAAATGCTTAAAATATTATTAATCTTACCGGATTTTTAGAATGAAACCAACATTCAACCATTATATCAGGGTAAATAACACCAGTATCTCTTTTTACAGTTTTTAACAGTTGAGATTTTCATAAATTAACCTTTCATTTCTTTATAAATCTGTGTTCTCTATACATTTCTATAGTTGCTGTAGCAATGCCATTTCAAATGGATGGTGAAGGACCTCAGTCGCCCCATTTTCCCATGCCCTATACCTCTTTAGATCAAATTCTCAAAGAAGTATATGCATAGGAAAAAGGAACAACGAGCCAGATTTGATCATCTCCACTTGTGGCAAGAATAAACCTGGAATATAAATGTATAGATTAAGGAGAATAAAAATATATTATATTCTTTATACAGTGCTTTTTTCTTTTGAACTGTAAGGCTGTTAAAAACTAGTGCAGATTAGAACAGAGATTAAAGTATAAGAATACCAACGTTAATGACTAGGATTCAGTAGAGACTTAATAGTATTTAATATGTAAAAAATTCATCATTGCAATCTAATTTTTTTAAATACATTAAAGAAAATGTAGAGTTCTTAGGAAAAATGAAGAGTCAGCTCTGTAGAACTGACCGGAAGATAAATTGCAGTCAGTATTGAAATCCTGTTTTCAGAGGATTGCACAGTATTCGAGGCTTTTTTACTTAAGAGCTATGAAAATACCTATTTGAATTACTGAGCAAGTGCATGAGAGAGAGAAACAGAGAGAAAAAAGAATTACAAAATGCTGTAAAATAATTTCTACAAATAAAAGGACTTACCTGGTTAGCTGTCTGATTCTTGAACTGCAATAACTTCGTTTTCTTGAGAATTTATGCTTTGCTCAAGACCTTGAAGTAGTATGAACAATACAGTGTAACTGTTTTCATAAGTGATAATCAGTTTGCCCCTTGCCAAGGTCTTTGCTGCACCTGCAGATTGGGTGCACAAAAAGCGCTGCTTTGTAAAACTGCTGAAAATGTGAAAAGTATCATTCATCTGTTGGGGGAGGTAGAAATGGGAGCACAATGGACGACAGGCCTGATAGGACTAATGAAGTTATGTCTTGAAATGGGCCCTGAGAATGAGAATTTATCATCTGTGTTTTCTTTCACATACGTCAATGGCGTTTGGAAAATGTAAATCTGGGACTTCTTGTTCTCAGACCCTGTGCTGTTTTCTGTCTACCCCCCTGTCTTCCCCAGCACTCTGTTTTTGAGAATCTCTATCATGTCCTTCACTGCAATTATGACTTTACTGGGGAGATATCAAGGTCTGTGTACAAGGCTTTCCTTTGCTTATCCAGGCACTAGTGAGGCTCCCTCCTGGATGCCAAGGCTGGGAGACATGTTTCACCATATTTAATCTTATTTGCTAACAAATTCTTTAACCATTTGCTTTCAAGTTGCTGTCTTTCTTTTAGGACCTTTATTTTGCTATAAAACTCTTGATCTCCTGTGTAAAGAGTATCTATTTAATGTATTAGAAGTCTGGAGTGATCAGCCAAAAGTGTTTGGAATTAGTTCAAATTAATTCAGACAACTACCGTGTCACAAATAGTCACAGTACTAATTGTTATGTGATGTTGTTTATTCATAAGTTTGGGCACTCCTGAAATTCAGTAAGTGCACTTTTTCACTGTCAAGATTTGTCAAAGTTTCCTTAATTTCCTAATTTTCATTTTGTAACCTCAGGTTCAGTTTGTTCCTTCCTGTCAGTCACTGCATTCTGATCAGGTCAGTGACTTGAAATAAAAAGGTTTCTGATTTTAGTTTAGGATGAATCTTTCCTTAGATTTTTACAAAAGATACAATTCATTCTTCCAGTTTTTCATCAGAGAGCTTCTGTGCTTTTGGCCTGAAGCCATCCTAGTTGTGTCCTGAAGCAAGTGTTGTATGTTTTGTGATTTATAATATGTGATGCTTACTTCAACTGTGCTGGGCTTTTTGCCTTCAATCAGACAGTTATGTCACCTGGAAAGAGAAAACCTATGCTGCACAAAACCAAAGACTGTTCAGAGCAGTACTGAACAGCTCTTCACATAACATACATGCTAAAGGAATTGTCAGGTTTGGTTTTGGTATGTGTTCTTTTGACAAATAGATGGGGGGGGGAAGTGTGGTGGTGTTTGTTTGTTTGTTTGTTTTTTCCCAAGGGGATTGAGCATTAAACTACTGGATTAGCAGCTGGAATATAGGCAGTGTTTATGCTTTAGTCTTGAGTCCTGGATAGGTCATCTAATGCAGGGTGAAACCACCACAAAACCTGGGAACGGTATGTTTTGACATTAGATGATGTGTAAAGCTATGGCTAAGGGCTATATCCACAGAAGACCTTAATGACATGTGAAGTCATTTGTAAGGCTTCCATCTTTATGAACACGAGTGGCTGTTCATATGAGTGTTCTCACTGAGAGGAACAAGATTGCTTGCTTGTGTGTGAAGGAACAGCCTCTTGATTTTTGTGGTTTATAATTGGCATCACATATTTGTGAATTGGGAAAATACTTAGTACAGCTGATTTGTAATTTATCAGTCTCTCTTAAGAATACAGGCAAAGCTGTTTTTTATTTAGATTGCAGAATTAAACTTTTATTAAATTGTTTTTTATTCAGAAAGATAAATAAAGCAGGCAACTTTGAAATTTTAAGAAAAAAAAAAAATAAAACCAGTAGTCAAACTTTTGCTTTTGGTGTTCAATACAAAGAGGTGATCTGATCACTTTTAACCTCAGGGCACAATTTCTGAAATGTCCTCCATTCATGCATTCTTCTGAAAACCACATAAAGTTGGTAGCTAGTGTAAAATGAATAGCCTGAAATTTTAATGCATAACAAAGATTGATGTCTCCAGAGTTTTATGCGGGTGTAATTTGGTGTCATAAATGTTTATATTTAACAACCTTCTCCTGTAAAAAGATCAGTGTGAACCTCACTTCATACATATGTGTAAACTTGTGGATCACGGCTGTTAGCTGCTGGGTTTTGTGTGGTGGTGTTGGATTTTTGCCCTGTGTATGTGTTGTTTTTTTTTTGTTTGTGGTTTTTTTCTTTCCTTTTTGAGAGAGAGAAGGGGAAAAAAAAAAGAAATGGTCAGATGAATTGTGTAGCACTGATGTATCTTACAGGATATTTTTTTGTTTCAACCCTTCCTCAGCAGTTAGAATTAGTGGGACTAAAAATCCTGAGTATCTTGTAATGCATTTTCAAAAGAGCAGATTAAAGTGTATGTGAAGCTCTGGAGTACATTTTTCATCAGTTTACACACAGCTCTCTTAGGTGGTGCCATAAGCAGTGTGAAAGGGACTTCTTATTTCATTTTTGGGCAGCTGTGTGTTTATGTGTGTTTTTGCAAGGATTTATTTATGGGTCTCAAGTTGATTTTCTGCTTTGGGATTTTATCATAGAATCATAGAAGAGTTAGGATTCAAAAGGACCTTAAGATCATCTAGTTCCAACACCCCTGCCATGAGCAGGGACACCTCACACTAAAAGCAGGGACACCTCACACTATTTTTATTTTCTTTTTTTTTACTATGACGCATACAGCTTTGTATAGATTTTTCATTTTTCAATGTTTCTGTCTATGTGAGAAATTTTAGTTGGAAGGCACCTACAGCAGTCATCTAGTCCAACTGCCAGATTAGGGCTGACCAAGTTAATGCATTTAACTTGTGAGAGAGGCTCAAGTGTATTGGAAAAAGCCTCACTTAAAACACCACACATGCTTCCCCTAAGAATAAATAAGGTTCTAAGTTATTTGTTAAGAGAACAAAACAAAACAACCCCACCAACAAAAAAAACCAACAAACAACAAAACAACTCCACCAGCCAACAACAACAACAAAAAACCAAGACAGCCCCCCCCAAAACTCCAAAGAGAAACCCAAACTAATAAACCCAGAAAACCCACACCAGCTTCCCTCTCAAGCCCTCTCTGAATCCCACACAGGAAGAAAAAAGTCATCTGCCTATTATCAAGAGATGGTTCACTCGCTTACTGCCCTCAAAGAGACAGGATCATGATAATATCTTTTGAATAGTCTAATGCTGTAAATAGTTGCAGAGGTGGAAAAGCAGTGATCCTTTGGTTTGTATGTGAACCTTCTTTGTTTATTGAGTTGTTTTTTTTTTTTTTGGTTATATTTTGCAATGAACCTGGATGACATTGCATGTGGGACAATGCTGGTTACTGCAAATGTTTGGCAGACTCCTTTGTGTATTCTTACACAACTCCAAAGGTGGGCGATGGTAGGATTGAGAGTGCTCTCGTTAAAGTCAGTGGTCAACCTCCCTTTAGCTTCAGCATGCATTTGGGCAAACATGCAGATTCTTACACTGTCTGAACAACAGCCTGGATAAAACTATGCACTTTTTCCATTCAAACCTCAGTAAAATTCTATGTGGTGTATCGTACACTATTGTTTAAGTGGAGCTAACAATTAGTTTTAGTTACTGGAAGTGATGTTTTAAAAGAATGCTTGGTGTTCTTGTGGTTATGGAATATAAATATATATATGTATTTGTCAAGGCTAATAAATCTAGAAAAAAAAAAAAAGCCATCCCAGTGTTCTTGGTGTTATTAATTTATTGATCATTACCTTGGGGAAGAGGGAAAGTTCAGCATTTTTAAACTGGGACTTAAAGCCTAATCGCCTAAGTAAAGAACATTCTTAATTGCATGTAGCTGCCACTCTTTAAGTGCTGTTTGAACAGCCCCTTTCTCATGTGAAAGCTATTCTGGATTTCTCATCTAAAACAAACACTTGTAACCTGTCCTTCCATGAATGATTGTTACAGGGTAGATGCAGGCAGAAGGGAAAGCTAAATGGGCTGTAACACACAGACATGAGAGAAAGCCCTAGATTTATCTTCCATCAGCCACATGATTTATAATGCTTGAATTGTGGCTTTGAAACAAAATAGGTTGGAATGCAATTTATTGGACCTGTATGGCAGCTTGGAAAAGTATGATTAGGCTGGAGGCATAGTTTTCAGTAGTTGAAGATGTAGTAGCAGTTCAGGTGTTTCTCTCAAACTACTGTTAATAATCAAATTAAGCACAAATTTTTAGAACAGTATTCCTCAAAAAAACTCTGGATGTGACAGGACTGGGCCCTTTCTAATGAAGTTCTTATATGTTTTAAATGTAGAAATGGTATTTGTTAGACCTACCATAACATCTGAATTAAAACTGGAATATTCATTCTTCATAGTTGCACATTTTGTATAATGTCCAAAAGGAGGAAGATCAGAAATGAAGGTTTGTTGTTTTTTTTTAATGTGATTTACCCTTTCTGTTCTAAATACAAAATGGGATCTGTCAGCCCATGGTGGTGACTTTCACAGTTGAGCACAGACACTTACATATATAATTTCTCCTTTCCTTTATTGTAAGTTCCATACTTTAAAAAAAAAAAAAAATATTCTCCTGAGCCAGTGTGCCTTTTCTGATTAGCAACATGATGATCATAGGTACACTTTCAAACAGTTGACATGCAGGGGTGTTCAGTATCCATAATGAATCTGGCATTCTTGATAAACATATGATTAGTGCATGTATGTTTATATAGGTATATATGTGTCATTTCAGTTATTTTCTGTCTTTTTACTATGCTAAGCAGCTATGAAGTAATATAATTAATATACACATTCTGAAGACAGCTTTAAAAACATTATGAAGAATTGTTGTTGCTATATGCTGAAAGTGCTTTGGGTTACAGTGGCCTAAGTTCGAGAGGGGTTAGGACTAATTATAAGCACTTTGTAATGTTGGCATGTGATGACTTTTCTTGTTCTAAGAAATATTTTGATTTCTATTGTCACTTTTTTCTGTGGGTGCCTGAGAGACACATTCCTTTTTAAATGTCAGATATAGCTTTAATATTTCTTAATATGTTGCCCTGTCGAAAGTAAAATACCTGGTATCAGGTACAGCAACGTTATTTAGAAGCAGGCTGAGTCTTTTTTGCCTTTCTCTTTTCTATCGCATAAAACAGGAGCTGCTTTTTTTTTTGCTTTCAAGGCCTTTGTACACAGTCAGTATTTGTATAACTGTCATTTACTACTGAGAAGTTGATTTCGTGCCTCTGACTGACCAAGAATGACAGTATTTATTATTATGTTTCCAAACTAGAATCTTTGGCTTTCTACTGTATGACATGGTTTTGCTTATACATTACAAAGTTTTTTTAACTAGCTTTCTAGAAATCTGTGGTTAAAATTCACCTTTTGCTATGGTATCTTCAAGAACTATCTTAATAGCTAGGTTGCT